GCTGGTTCTATGACATTACTAATTAGTTAATTAACAAAATAAATAAATGAAATTTTAATTTTACTTAACTAAAAATTTAAAGCATAAAATTATTATGATTTTTGTTGGCAAAAAAATGAACAAATTAGAGCAAGATGAACTCACAATAGGGGGGTGAGCTTGGGTTAGTTCGATTTGGTTCCAAGGTAGAACCTGGAACCTACCCATCGTTTCCAAGTTTTTGGAACTGGAACCTACCTTGTCAAGATTGGTTCTGGGGTCTACCTTGGGACTTGTTCTTTCTTTACCGCCCCCCACCCCAAATAAAAAAATGGAATATGTTACAATAATGATAACAACATAGTTCAAAACTTATCATTATAATTTAAATTTTGTAAATGTTACATTTTATATTACTTATTATACACATTCAAATATTAAATTGAAGAAAAAGGATCAAATCACTTCGGTCAAGTGAGACTGTGGTCTTTGTAACCATGATCAAATCACTTAAGTATTCACATCCTCAAAGTATTTTGGGATTTATTTTAAGTCAAGATTGGTTCCAATGCCAATTCCACCAAGGTTGGTTCTGCCAAGGCCAACCAAGGCTAATTCTCTAGGTTGGTTCAAGTAAGGTAAACCCTTAGACCCTAGAACTGGCCTAGGTGGGGGTCAGTTCCAAGAATTTATATTAAATTCAATTGAATTTTGAATGGATATTACTTTTTAATTTATTTTGCTATCTTATTATTTTATTAAGATAAACAAATTTTATTAATTTTAACAAAAAATAGTATTATTAATTTCATAAATTCAATTACTATTTTTTTAAATTTTATTACTTTATATTAATTTGTTTTTATTCTATTAATCAAAATTATTTTTATCAATAATAATAATTAACAATTATTTTTACGTTAATTAATTTACTAAATTATTTTTATTATTTATAATGATTTTTTTATTTTTCCAAATGGAATGCAAATGGATTATAATTTTTATGACATTTTATTTGGACTAATTAGTTTTAAAATTTCTTATTGAGTAATTTTAATTTGGGATGATTTTGTATTAATACTTTTATTATTTGTAATTAAACTTTGTTAATAATTATATTATCTTTCAAAAAAATAAACTGGTTAATAGTTATATATTTTTACTAAAATATATAATTAATGGAGGTATATTATGTAGGTTTTAAATTATAATTATAATTTTGAAATGGAATTTAAATAGGCTGTAATTATAATTAAATGCGATTTTATGTTTCAAATATTAATAATTTTATTTTTGAGTGAAGTAAGTAATATTTATTCCAAAATGCAATTTACTGATTAACTAACTTATACATTTTTGTCTTTTAAATGGAAGTTGATCATTTAGCTTATAATAATCAGCCACTGAATATCAAATGGGTTATAAATTACAATTAAATTAAACTTAATTTTTATTATGAAGTAAATAATAATTATATGCAATTAATTTAATTTAATTATTTTTAAATTGTATTTTGATTGAACGTGATTATTCATTAGTAATTATAATTAAATGTAAATATATCAAATGGATATAAAATTATAATTAAATCAAAATGGATATAGATAAGATAGGATTAATGAATTTTAAGCAATTTAATGGAGTAATTGATAAGAGAGAATTAGTGGCTTGAGTTATTGCAAGAAATAGTGTTAATGGCATGATTAATGAGGAGAAAATTAGAGGAGTTAATGAGAAAGAAGGGAAGTAGAGAGTTAATGATTCTCTATCTTCCCCCCACGTTTTGGGTGCTTTCTTCACAAAAGTCTCTCCTCATTGGTTGTTTAAAAACTGACATGGAATTAAGACAATGAAAAATTAGAAAAAGTATAAAGAAATAGGCCCTTCTTTGTGACATTCCTAATTGAAGCCGAAGGAGACTTATGACATTCCTAATTGGTAGGGTGATCATTTTCAGCTAGGCCTGGATTGGCTTAGAAATCAAGGCTTTGACCTATGTTTTTTTGTTCAAGCTTGGCTTCGGCCCCCACATCAAGCCCACAAATTTCCAAGCTAGGTGTGGACCCACTACTTTATATAATGTGTATAATAATTTTTGTATACATATTATATGACATATAATATAAAATACTATATATATTTAATATTTTAAACATAAATGATATAGGCTTGGAATCAAGCTCGGGCTTATGTTTCAGGCTTGAAACCCAGGTTGGGCTAGTCCTAGAGCTATATCCCTTATCACAAGTGTTAAGCCTGACATGGGCCCAACTTGGTCTATGATCACCCCTACTAATTGGGTTGAGCCAAATCGAGTCCAACCCAGGCATTATTTGTTTTGATTTTTGCTATTTTTATTATGCTTTATTATTTTTAGATGTAGTTTAAGGGAGTCTAAATTAATAGTAATTAAATTTAAAACTAATACCTCTATTAATTTTATATTTTATTAATAAATTTATTATAGTATTTAGTGTTATTAATTTTGCAAGTTAAAGGGTCTAAAAGGACCAGAGAGACCAAAAAGGGCATGGGTTGAAGTAGTAAGAAATGATTTAAGCATTTACATCCACTTCCTACTACTTTGATGGTCCTTGGCAATCTTTAGGTCCCATGTCTAGTCCTTGATGTATTCAACAACATTCATGATATGGGGCTGGATTTCATCCATATGCTCCCAAGCTTCCATCTTTTCCATATCTCCCTTTTTGTATTGTGCCTATCTTTCATCACCAACATTGTCTGAAGCACCTTCTCCATTTCATGCTCCTACATAGCCCTTTGTATTAATTCCTCCCTGTTCCTACACCCATTGATATGATTCTCCTTTTGACCTTTTCTCTAGTTTTAAGATTCATTGGAAAACAAAAAATTCTCTTGTTTGTAATTTTCTATTTCGAAAATTATGTAGATTTTAAAAAAGAAAATATTCAAAAAAGGAGAAAAAAGTAGAAAAATAATCGTTATTTTTAAATGTTGTTTAGGGGATTTAAAATTAATAATAATCAAATTTAAAACTAATAATTATTTAATTTTTATTTATTAAGAAATTTATAGTAGTATTTAGTGTTATTGATTTTATTGTTTTCTATTAGAGTTTTTAATTTACTATTTTAAATGATTTTTAAAATAATTAATTTTTTGAATATATTTATTAATTTATTAATTATTGTTTTTATTGTTATTATTTTTATATGAAATTTAAATGAATATTACATTATAGAAATTAGTTTTGAAGCTACTAAACTTGTATTAATTAGAATTAATTTGTGTTTCTTAATATTTTTATGTACTTTTATTAGGTTTTATTGATTTTATTATTCTTGTTATTTTTAAGTGAGTTAATTACATAATGTAATACTCACCTAAAACACCTCCATATTAAACCATAACTTCAAAAGGTAAGAAAGTAATAGTAATTATTATTATATTATACCACATATGACCTAAGAGGCTAATTTAATTGGTACAACCTAGGGAATCTCTCTCTCTCTCTCTCTCTCTCTCTATATATATATATATGTATGTATGTATGTATGTATGTATGTATGTATGTATGTATATGTATATACATATATATATACACATGGTTTAAGGGAGAAGTAGAATTGGTTGGCTTAACGGTTTTCAGGTTGAAAGGGCTCGACTATCCAGTTCAAACAAATGACCAGTCCTAACTTAAAAATTTAAAAATAATTAAAATAAAAACGACTAAAAACCATTATTTACATCGAATGGGTCAACAGGTCGACCTTTCGAGTCAACGGGTCACTGACCAAGTCAATGGTTTTTGGCCAAGGCATAGGTTAAGGGTGAAATGGAACTGGTTGCCTCGATGGTTTTTAACAGTCCGACTGTCTATTTCGAACGAACGATCCATTCTAACTTAACAAAAAATAAAAAATGACCAAAAAACCATTGTCCTGGGCGAGGTTTGACAATTAGTGGGTCGCTGACCAAGTCAAACGGTTTTCTAGCCAATATACGGGTTAAAGGTGAAATGAAACCAGTTACCTCGACAGTTTTCTGACCATCCGGGTCAATGACGGTTCAAAAACCATGATATTCATCATAAAATATAATAAAATATTTAAATTATAAAAAATAGTTATCGGTCTGTGAACGGTTGTCCACTTCAAACAAATCAATGATTATAGTCTGGATTGAAAGTCCATTGACCAAAATAAACTGTATTTTACAAAATAATGGGCTAAGTGGTAATTAAACAGAAAATTTGACCAGTTTTCCATTGAAAGAGCTAAGCTCAATGATCTTTTCTTTGGAGCAGTCATAATTTTTTCTATGGAGGCCAAAACCTAATTAAGTGGATGGGACGGGAGAATAAACATGGATGGGGCTTTGGGGGGCTAATCATTGGGTGGGCGTGGGGGGAATGGGAAATTTACATGGAGAGGGGTAGTATAAGTGGTGATTAGGTTCCCCTGGGTTGCCTTGGCTCTGCCCATGGTCATTGGGGTTGCTCCCGTGCATCTCATGGGTCTTCACTAGTATATATATATATATATATATTGAATGATATCTACAAAGAGTAAAAAGTCTCTCTTTCTCTATTCTCGACACTCATCACCCCCTCTCTCTCTTTTCGAGACTCATTAAAAAAAATCACTTTACTCAAATATGATACGTTTGTTTGAAAATGATTTGGCTTTTAGAAAATAAAAAATTCAAAGAAAAAGGAGAACAAAGCAAGGATTGCTTTGTTTTAGTGTATATATATATACACACACAGCCTTGGTCTCTCTACTTTATGATTATATGGTAATTAACCCACAGTTATGAAAAGAAAAGTATAGAATGTCACTGTTAAATTGGTAGCAGAGAGCGCTATGTGCTTTTGGGAAAAGGTTATCATATAATAAAACTTTAAGGGTGCATTTTTTTTACACATTCAAATTCTTTAGTTGATACAAATAATTCTTTATAGAATTTTTTTTGATAAATAATTCTTTATAGAATTTTAGAAACTTATTCTTATTGATTGTCTTTCTGCAATGTTTCAGGCTCTTGATACCTTCAACACGGCAATTGTTTCTCCTATATATTATGTCATGTTCACAACTCTTACAATTCTTGCAAGTGTCATAATGTTTAAGGTATTGCCAATTCACAGATGGTATATATGCTGGACCTGCCATTTTTAGTCATTTCATAAGCATCTTGTTTAGACCTGGCACTGTTAGGTTGGTTCGTTCATCAAGCAATATGGTACATAAAACAAGCTGAGTCAGGTCAAACATCTGGAATTAAATCTATCATAAAAAATTGAGAAGGATCTGCTGGAAAGTAAAAAAATCTTTTAAAATTTGCACTATTTCTGGTGGAATATTTCAGGATTGGGATGGCCAAAGTGTGGGGAGCATTATATCAGAAATATGCGGCTTTGTTGTTGTGCTTTCTGGGACCATTTTATTACATGTGACAAAGGACTTTGATAGAAGTTCCTCCTTTAGAGGTGCAAGATAAATTTCTTTTTCACCCTATATGACCTGTTTTTGGTCCCACCTACTCCCATCTTGCTATCATTTTACTGAATTTTGAAAGTCTAGGATCTTATATGTAAATGTTTTTATTCGTACAGGTAATTATTCACCATTGTCTCAATCATTATCGGCCCGACTCTGCAGTGGAAATGCGGAGTATTGAAGCGTGATGAGGAAAATGTGAAAACTTGAGACGAAATCTACTTACGGAGACAAGAACTGTACTAGTAGCTTGATACATTCCAAGAAATGATTCACCTTGAAATCACTGGATAGAATGTGAAACCTTGGTGGAAATTTTGCATATTTGAGGAAAGGATATACAGTTCCAATAGTTCCACAGTATTAGTTCAGGTCAAGATGGATTCCAGAAGGATACCAAGTCTCTAGGGAATGGAAATTCACAGAATTTATTTCGGCAGTTTCCATCACAAGCAGTGTTTTTTCTATGAAGATGGCTGCTGTGGCTTTACTTGCCAGGATACATACTATTGAAGACTTGCACAGAGTTCTTGGAGTTGCTGGTCCTTACGGATGTTTTGCATAATGTTTTGTGTTTGTGGTGAAAGCAAATATATCCATTCACTGAATTATAGAGGCCCAGCTTTCAATGAGGACCTTGGTTTTTTTCCTCTTTTTCTACACAGGAACTGTCTGCACTGCAAATACAAGCATATTTGGGACTAAGGTTTCATGGAGGTGGAATTCAACAACTTTTACACTTTTTTTTTGGCTGTTTCATTAATTGTAAAACTGATAAATGTTTGTATAGTGTTTGTAATTAATCTATTGCAGTCTTCTTGGTAGATGAGTAATATGTGCACGCTAATATTACAATTTAGTATATTAAAAGTAGTACCGCGTATAAAATGGTTATTCATGAGCAATTGTGTTTATTATTGACATGAGTGTATGACTTAATTTTCTTTTAAAATTTGTTTTAGATTAAGAATAGCTCTCTTGTTGCAAATTGCAAATTGGTTTCTGGAAGACAAAAATTTAGTATCTTACAGCGCACCTGACTTGATCAAGTTCCGTTTCATAAGCTAAGTTCTGTCTCGTCAACTAAAGAGATGACAAGAACCTCATTCTTGCTGGTGATTAATGAACTGAAATTAATGCTTGGAGACCATTTTTCCTGCTTAGAACCAGTTCCTGCAATTATTTGATGACTTGAGGACGGTACGAAGTTTTTCCTACCTAAACAAGTTCCCGCAGTCACTGCTGTGTTTGGTAGATTCAATTTTCTTTTTCTGATAGGCTGTTAGCTTTTTTTTTTTTTTTTGGTAATAATCATATTCATTAAACAACGAAGCCAAATTACAGGCAAGATGAAAAGTCCCAACAAATGGGAGCAGAGAGCATGAAAGAAACAGCATTACAGGACTTAAAACAAGAAACAAAACTTTACTTGGCTGCCGCATGAGCTGCCAAATTCTTGTTCCTAGAGCACCAAGAGAAACTGAAATTCCTCTGTCAGAAAAGGTTTTGATGTCTTGGCAGCAGAATAAAATATTAGGATGAGGATCAAAACTATTGGCGTTAAGAGCTTTTACTAAGCTGACATTGTCCAATTCAAAAATAACATTGGATAGATCATTTTGGCCTGCAAAATAGACAGCCTCCCATGATGCCTTTGCCTCTGCCTCGGCAACGATAGGTAATGAAGCATTTTGAGGACCATAGCCAGCAACCCAACACACTCCCCAATGATCTCTCAAAATAAAGCCGAATGAGGTTTTATTTGGGTTCACAAAAACTGCATCACAATTCATCTTCAAGCAACCTTCTTCAGGAAGCACCCACAAAAAATCTGCATCCATCTTTTTAGAATTGGAAGAGCCTTCCAAGTTCTTTTGCAAGTGAAGAGATCTCTCTACTATTGACCTGTGAATTTTGGATAGAACAATAAAGAGATTCACATTTTCTTTTTCAAAACAGAATAAATTCCCGTCTTTCCATATTTTTCACAAACAGCTCATTAAGTTAGCCAACCAATCCACTTGACTATCCTCTAGCTCAAAAATAATGAATTTAAGCCAGTCGTAAAAGGAATTAAAGTATCAAGTAGACTTAGGGTTAACCCAAGTCCTGAACCTAGCCAGATGCATCTTGCTTTCTCACAAAGCAGAAGGGCATGTAAAATGGATTCAACCTCTCTTCCACATCTATACAGATGTCCGACTCACACAAGCTTTTTTTCATAATACTTTCCTTAACTACTAATCCACCTACACAACACCTCCACAAAAAGTGCTTGATTTTGGGTTCAATTGGAAGACTCCAAAACCCTCAACAAGCTCTTGTCATCACTTTGATCATTCCAAGTGGAGATATAATTTTGGTAATAAAATAAGCTGATTTCACAGAGAACTTGTCGTTTTTGCTTCCTATCAAACTAACTTATCAAGCCATGAATTAATAGGGATCTTTATCTCCATGATTTTTTTGAGCAATGGGCCTGGTAAACAAAGAGTTTAGTTTACTTTCATCCCAAGATCTATTTAATTGATCAATTAGATCAAACACTTTTAACTCTAGAGTACGTCCTATTAGTTTATTTCCTTCTAGACCAGGTATCTAGGGGTCATCCCAAATGCTCACATTTGATCCCTCACCAATTTTCCAATATATCCCCTTTTTATGACATTTCTCCTTGCCAGGATGCTTCTCCAACCCCAAGAAAGTCTACTCTTCAAGGATGCTTTGAGGAATGAGGAGTCTTAGAAATATCTTGCTTTTAGGAGCCTATCCCAAAGATTGGATGTGTCATAGCATAGTCTCCAAGCCAACTTGGCTAAAAGGGCCAGGTTGAAAGCATGAGGGTCTCTAAAGCCCAATTCTCCATTACACTTGTTTTTACTTATTTGGTCCCACTTAACCCATCTTATTTTTTTCCTGTCCTCACTATGCCCCCACCAAAAAGCTTTTTGACTCTTTGCCATAGAATTGAAGCAAAAAATAGGACATACAATAGGCTGGAATAGTAGTGAGAACAGATTTAATAAGAACCTCCTTCCTAGTTTGAGAAAGTAAGGAACCCTTCTAGCTTTTAGCTCTACTAAAAGCCCTCTCAATTGAGTATTCAAAATCTTAAGACTTCTTCCTCCCAATGAAGGATGGGTTCCTAGGTAAATGGAAGGAAAATCCACTTTCTTATATGCAAACAATTATCATCCTTTTAAATTTGGGGTATAAATTCTTGCTAAAAAAGCCTTTGACTTTTGGTAGTTTACCTTTTGATTAGAAGCTCTTTTATAGAGTGAGATGGCCTCCAAAATAGAATTTGCCTCTCTGAGATAAGCTTTTGTAAAAAGATAGCTATCATCTGCAAAAAAGAGGTGATAGATAGTTGGAGCCCTTCTACAAATTTTGATTCCTGATAGTTCATTTCTAGCCATTTTTTTGCTTAAGATTGCTGATAGGACATCAGAGCAAAGCAGAAAGAGGTAGAATGATAGGGGATCACCTTGCCTCAATCCTCTTTGAGGTAAAATTCTTCTTGAGGATGAACCATTTACCAAGACTTGATATGACATAGTTGACACACAGGTCATCACCTAAGAGACCCACTTACTACCGAAACCCATTTTTTCCATAGTGGATTTCAGAAACACCCATTCCACCCTATCATAGGCCTTACTCGTGTTTAACATGATTGCCATATAGCCATTCCTAGCTTTGGTGTTAGACATATAGTGCAAAATTTCATGGGCTATTAAGATATTATTTAAAATGGCTCTGTCAGGGAGGAAAGTACTTTGGTTTTCTAAAATTAAACCTTCCAAAATTTGCTTCAATTTGTTGGCCAGAATTTTAGCTATTATTTTATTGATAGTATTATACAAGATAATTGGCCTAAATTGAGATGCATCTTCAGGATTCTTTACTTTAGGAATTAAAGCAATAAAAGTGGAATTCAAAGAGCGGTTCATCCTCCCCTCATTAAAGAAGATGCTTATTTCTCTTACTACATCCTCTCTAGTAATCTCTTGGAATTTTTGAAAAAAGAGGTTAGGGAACCCATCTCGTCCCAGATATTTTCTGGGAGCCATTTGGATCAAGGCATTTTTTATTTCCTCTTCAGTGACTTGCTTATGAAGTTCTTCATTCATTTCATCACTAATTAGGCAGCCAATTCCTTCAAGAGCTAGGGGAATTTCAGAAGGGTAGGAGGTAGAAAATGTCACTGAAATAATTTACTAAGATATTATTTATTTGCTCCTAACCCTCCTTCCACTCACCATTCACATATTTTAATTTCAGAATTTAGTTTCTTTCCCTTCTTGTAATAGTGGAGTTGTGGAAGAATTTTGTGCTCCTATCCCCATAATTTAGCCAATTGACCCTAGACTTTTGGACCCAAAGAATTTCTTCCCTTTTTAGCCAACTATCAAGATCAACTTCAATTTCATTTATTCTTCCTTGGTAATCTAACCCCTCATTCCTTTGATCAAATTCTAGCTCATGCTTCAGCTTTTGTACCCATTCTTGAACCTTACCAAAGTCTTCTTGGTTCCATTTTTTAAGGATTCATTTTTTTAATCTTACACACTTTTTTGTAATGGAACTAGGAATGGGATGAATTTGCTCATTCCAGGAGTTTTTAATTAAGTCCTCACACTTATCATGGGAGAGCCACATTTCTTCAAACCTATAGGGTTTTCTAATTTTGAAACTTATAGGGTTTGTATCTAGACAAATAGGAAGATGATTTGATCTGTGGATTGAATAACTATGACATTTGCATCCAGGAATAGAGATTTCCATCCCTGATTGCCAAGACCTTTGTCTAGTTTGACTTTTATATGTTTCCCTTGATCCCTTTCTATTTGTCCACGTATACTTAGGTCCAAAACTAGGAATTTCTTCCAAACCCCACCCTCTTAGGAATCCCCTATTCTTTCTTATCTATTTCACTTTTACCTCTCTGCCTCCAATTTTATCATCCAAAATAAAAATTATGTTAAAATCTACAACACAACACCAAGCTCCCATTGAAATGGTGGCTAATTGATTTAACTTTCCCACAAAGGACAATATTCTACTTTCCTCAAGTTCCCCATACACAAATGTACACCACCACAATTTCTCGTTGTTATCATCAACAATTTTGGTGTGAATTATATTTTTATTAGCGGCAATCACTTGAAGGTTTAAATATTTTTCCCAAAAAAGCACTAAACCCCCTGATAAACCCCTCAAATCAACACCCCAACAATTACAATCCCAAAGGCACCAGAATTTCTTCCTTCAAGTTAAGACACTACACTTAGTATCACTAAAGAAAATCACCTATGCTTTTGTTTCCGTTAGGGCCTCTTGTTAGACAGTGTATGCCCTTAGCTCCAATCAGATTGATGTATATTTGACATTTATTGTAAATGAATAAAAGTAAATATATGATTCATGTTATATTTGGTGTGTTTCTGTATAACTACCCTTAAACTCGACACTTATGAGACTTGTGTTAGTTTAGAATGTTCTTAGCCATTGGATAGACCTGGGGAGGTTTGTTCTACCAAGGTTGACACTAATGTGTTGCCAAGTCAGTTGAGGCAGCTTGTCTTAGCTGCCAGGATTAGACCCAAATGACATATAGTGTGTGTTTGCTTGAAACACTGAACCCAAACCAATTTCCAGTTGTACCCTGGACCTTGGAGACAAATGGGCAAAACTGGAGAGTTACACCTAACCCCTACACTCGATTATGATACTGCATTGGGTGTCGGATTGGGCTGTCTTTGACATGCCAATTAGTGAGATCCTTAGCGGGGGTCAAAACATATGTATGTGGGGGTAGTTTGAGAGTTCACTTGAGTGGGTGATCATAGTGACAAAATCAACGCTTTTGTCGGACAAAGTGAAAGATCGGGGACTGCACTC